GTTAAAAATCTATTTTTGAATGGAATTTTCATTCAAAATATGGTTTTGTGAGTCTATTAATTTGCCGTTATATATATTAATTGAGTTAGATCAGCACTATATTAATTTGACTAAATTAGTACGAAATCAACAAGATAGAGAACACATATTTGACAACACATAATACTATAATATATATTATATATTTTCACAGCATATAATAAAATTTCGTAACAGGATATATTATTGGTTTTGAATTCATAAGCATATATATAGGTGGATGTAAGTGGGGGCAAGACTCCTTCCCCCAACCCCCCCTTTTGATTTTTTATTTTTATTTTATAATATATATTATAAAAAAAATAATAATAATAAGTTAAAAAATTGCTAAAAATTTATGAATATTTATTTAAGAAACTTAAAATTTAATTTTAAATTTTGAAAAATAAAAAATTTAAATCATAGTAATTAAAAAAAAAAAAACCTTCAAAAAAATTCCAATCATATGCATAAGAGATGATTTTTTTAAAGAGCAATTTTTTAATAATTTATTTTACTATTTATCAATTTTATATAATACAAAAATTAATCTTGTAATATGTAATTGTTGTTGTAGGTAGATATTTTGCAAGATTTTCAAAATATGATAGTTTCATTGATAAAATTATTGAATAACAAATAGATTATATTCTTTTCGAAGTTTGAAAAAAATTAACCCCCTCATCCCGATCTGGCTCCGCCTTTGTATATTTACAATGCAATAAAATATATAAAATGCAAAACAAACGTTTTTATATGACAATGTTATGTTATGCTATATATGTATACCGCCATTAATTTGACATAGCCTTAATTTACACAAATATTTTAAAAACTTTTGGTATTATTCATCTACAATAAATTTTATCTTTTAAAAAAAAAATTAAATCAAATATATGTTTTATGTCACAAATTATTAACTTTTTTTTTTCTTTTTATTTTTAATTTATTTTTTTTAAAACTTCCAAAATTTCTGTCTAAATGTAACCTTATCCCCCAACCAAACACTTAAATTTAGTGTGTTTGTATTTTATAGGTTTTGTTTTCGTTATTTTTTAAATGACATAATAATTGAATATGACTGTTGTGGTGCAAATTCAAGTCCTAGATTGGAAGAAGAAAATTACACTTTATAAGTCCCAAATGAACGCCTTTAGGAGAATATTCAAAAATAAATCCTATAAATTCGTGCGAATTCAGCCTAAAGCGGACAATATCGTACTAGTGTTCAGTTGACCTAGTCCCAACAATGACATTATATATATATAAATACAATTGATATAAAATTAAAATTGCTAAAAGAATAGTGTAGATCATGTATATTATTCTGAGATCAGAGAATTGAATCCTTTCCAAACAGCATTCAAACAAATTCTTTAAAGATATATATTATTTTTATTGTCTACTCAAAAACAACCCGACAAATTATGATAGACAGAATCTTGGTGAAGGTCGTGATGCAAATTCATGTCTTTTTTTTTTTTTAATTAATTAACTAATTATTTATATTCACCATTTATCATCTTGATCGAAGCACTGCATGCTCTTTAAATTAAATGACAAACTGTCACAAATTTAGAGGAAAAATAAAAAAAAAATAAAAACTTAAATTAATAAAGTAGACCAGAAATCATAGTGCAAGATTTCGACATTATTGAAAATAAATAAATTAAACACAGCATGTGATGGAGAAAGAATAAGAGAAAAGGAATGTGGCCACAATTTGTCCACTAGGGTTAAAGGGGACTTTCCCTCCAATTGTCTCTTTGTTTATTTTTTTTTATTTTTTTTATTTATATAAATTAATGTTTTTGGTCTAACCAAAATGATAAGATAAAAAAATGGCACACGTGTTGTCGCTTCCGGGACAATATATGTGTCGTTGATTGATAGAGAGCTATACAATTTAGCTCTACTATCTAATTTAATAATAATAATAATAATAATAATAATAATAATAATAATAATAATACTAATAATAATAGATGTTGATCTAATATATGTGTCTATATGTGTCGTTGGTCTAATTCAAATTAAAATTTATCAATTTTTAGTTTTATATTAGCTGACAGCCGAGTTGGAAAACTAAAAAAACAACCTACAACATGGTCATATTCAAAACACGGCTGTGAACATGACCATATTAAGAAATAAGAATATAGTTGTAAACATGGATAATAACATGGTTATATTTCGAGTACGAACAGAAACACGATCGTGTTCAGAATATGATTGTGAACAAATGTATAACATGATTATTCATGGGTTGAGAAATGTAAATTTTGAAACCTATTTGCAGTTTGAGCGCGTGTAGATAAAAAATAGTAAAATAAAGATGATTGAGGGGGTTGAGACGCAAAGTTTATGAAATCACAAGAGAGTTTGACGCAATTTTAAAAATATGAAGAATTTACTGCAATTTTTTCGTAAAACCGTAAGTGAATTTTGTGAAATTTTGCATTTTATTTAAGTAAAACTTTTGCTCCATTTGTACATTCTCAATGTATTCGTTTTTTATTTTTAATTGTATTTTTTTAGTTGAGTAGACAATCATTCTATATTTTATACAATATTATATACAAAAAATGCTATTAAAAAGTAAATGAGTACAAGAGTAAAATATATTTTTATCATACTATTGTGCTATTACTGATAAAAGTATACATACTTTAAAATTTACATGCAAAAAATAAACGATTATATTTACTACTGACTGAGGTAAAATTATAAATTGATTTTATTCTATTCAGTGGATTGACATGTCTTCAAGCGAAAATTATGCAATATTCATGTTGTCAAAATATAAAATATATGGTCTTATTTTTCTTAAAATAATATCATAGTAACTAATATACAAACGAAAAATACAAATATAAATCATACTCACTTAATAATATTACTATTTGATAAAAAAAAAAAAAAAAATCACTGCTGTTGTTTTTAATTATTCATTTTATCTGTAATAAATTCATAATATATATGTATATATAAATATCTTATGAAATCCAGATTTTAAAATAAAATAAAATATTTTATTATAAATATCTTTTTTTTTTTTCACTTAATTATATATCCTTTTGTTTCTTTTAACTACAAACTTTTCAAATTTTCTTGTGGAATTTCTACTATAGTTTTACTATTCAATTTTGCTTTTTTCCCCCAAAAGATTAAAAATCAAATATTTAAATTATTTATTATATTATATTAAAATTTATTTTACGTTCAAAATATTGTATCAATAGATATTTATAACACGACCAAATAACTATTTTAATTCAAATTTTACTATTTAAAATTAAAACCTAAAACCAAAATCCCACACATAAACACAAATCAAGATAATATATAAGTATTTTTTTATTATTAATTAAATATTTTCAAAATAAAATTTTGTATTGAATATAAATTAAATTATTTTTTTAGTAAGATTACATGATAAAAGAGTTTATATAAAAAATAATAAAGAGATAGTCACGAGGAATTTGGGTTAAAGATATTTAAAATGACTTTATTAAATTCATTTGTTTCGTTTGGGAATATAATTGATTTTAAATCTACAACCTCAATGTTGTTTTTTTGGCATGTCTTGTTATAAATGTTAAAAATAAAATAAAATACAATATATATATACTTTATTTATAAAGAAAATTAATAATTTAATATAAAATATTATTTATTATATTATTCGCACGATTTTCATATCTAACGTGAAAAATACTTTTATAAAAAAATATATATAAAGTGAATAAACCCAAAAAATTAATTATGAGTTTTATCAATCTAATTTAATATTTTAAAGGTCATTTCAAGGTATTTGGTGCCATTAAATTGTACTTTTTTGCCACGGTGTCTCATTTATGATATAAAAATTTAAGAGGAGTATAATATAAAAATATATTAGTGAATTATTGTATAATAAAAATAATTTTATATTAATATAACTAATTAGTTTGATTAAAATTAAAAATTTTAAAATAAGATTAAAACGTATAATTTTTTATCAGAAAAATAACAGAACATAAACCTACGAAAACAGAAACATAGACACAGTAAATGAGACTGACCAAGTATACTTATTATAACTACAATATCATTCAAATTCGATTATAACAATTATAATTTAAATTCATTCATTTACAATCTATTGTAAAATCCAACTATCCAAACATACGACACCAACAATTTAGACTTTATTAAATTATTTTCTAGAACAATTTAATGTATTTTTAGATTATTTCGAAAAAAATAAAAATAAAAATATAATTAAAATTTCAAATACATTAAATAAAAATAAAATAAAATAACTAACGCAAATATATGAATCATTATTGTATAGTAAAAGTGTCAATTGTGATCTTCATAAAACAAACTATATTTTATATATATATATATATAAAATTAGTCATTATCTTAGCCCTACACAGATTTTTATCAAAAAGCAATCATAATTACACCAATGAATCAAAATCTGTATGTATATATTTGTGAGAGTGTGTGTGTGATTGAGTCCTAACATACATGAAAGTAAGCATCGGTGGTCACTCACTCATGACCACCCATGTGACCCCATATGATTCCTCAATATTGTATTCCTTTCCTTGCTGCCATTTCCACTTTTTATTCACCTCCAGAAAAGAATTCACAATCTTTACTTTACCCAATGAATTATTATGATCAAATTTCTCGGAATTTAAAATTTTCGGATACCGTTGGATGCCATTATTATCGAAGTACGAGAGTGATTAAAAAAGGGTTGGATCAGTCGTTTTCTCTGGTTAGAAAAAAAGGAAGGCGAGGAAATTGCATATGTACTGTTCGACGAAATGTCCAGCAGAAAAAAAAAAAAGATTATATATGTGTGTGTGGAGATAAAAAGTGTGGAACAGTGTCAGCTTGGCGTGCCAAACAGTATACTGATTGAAAAGATAGAGGAGGGAGAGGTGGGGTGGGGTGGGGTTGGGGGGTCCTGCTTGGCTAGAAGCGAAAGGAAGGAACAACCCCCACGGAAGAGAATTAGGGTTATACAAAAAGTGGGTCAGCCAAGTTCAATTTTTTTTTCTTTTTTTTTTTTTTGCAGTTTTAATTTGTGTGTGTGTAAAGCTGCTGCGTGTTGGGAGTATTTTAATTTGATAATTATAATATATATATATTTTGTATGGGAAATTGGTTTGATTCATGGTATAGAAAGGAAAGGGAGGAGGGAGAGAGCGAGAAAAGGGGGCAGGGCAATGCATAGGTGGTGGGGCGGTGGTGCAGATTCTAAAGGGATAGATTAGATGAGACTGAGAACATTCTGAGCTCTGCCTTTTTGTGAAAACATGGTGTTGCAATGGTGGCTGGCAAAGATCAGGGACAACTCATCTTTCTCATATCTGGATTGATCGATGTGTATGTATTTTGCAGGTGGATCCCTCTTTCTTAGATTTTTCTTGCTTGGATGTTTTTTTTTTTGTTCCTCAAAGGGATAGTACAGTGTGTGTGTGTATTTAGTGGTCTTCTTTTTCCACTGTTTGTGCAGTGTCCAAATTGAGCATTGATTCCCCGTGTAGGGTGGGGGGGTGGGTTTGGGTGTGGGTGTGGGTGTGAAGAAGCTTTGGCTGATTCCCATTGACTTGATGTTCTTGGAAGTTTTTGTGCCTTCCAATCTTTGGTGAGTGTTTTTGGAGTATTTTTGTGTGTTTTTTTTTTCAAAAGTTTCTTTTCCTTCTTCTGCTTCTGCTTCACTGATGTTTCATTTTTGTCCATTTATGCCTTTGGAATTGCTTGCTGGTTCTTGGCTACTGAATATGTGCTGTTAGCCATTTTGTGCATTAGGGTTTATCTTCAATTTTTGGGAATTTTTCTTTGTTTGATTCCTCCTGACTTGGGGTCGAGGTTATTTATAGTTAGATTAGCCTTTAATTTTTTATCACTTCTTGGTTTGTGCACTTCTTGATGTGTATAGTTTTGGGGAATTCGTGATTTGCTTTGGACAGGTTTGATCAATTTCAATTTCTGTAAGAAATTTGTTTAAGCTTTTTGAGTAATGGTGGACACCTGTTGTTCTTGATTTCTGAAACACTTTTGTTTTTTTGTTTTTTTTTTTTTTTTTTTTTTTTTTTTTTTTTATGGTGTAGGAAAGCCAAGAAGAATTCGTGTTTTGAAAAGCATATTTGATCTTCGAACTTCGGTTGTTTTGTTGCCATTGAAGATTGGAAAAATAACAATTTGTGTCTGGAAATGAAGTTTATGAAATTAGGATCGAAGCCCGATCAGTTTCAGACTGAAGGGGATAATATCAGGTCAGCTACACTCTATGATTTGCCTTGTGATGCTTTATTGTATTGAATTCGACGCATTTGTTGCCTGTTTTTGTTAAATCTTCGTTACTTTAATTAATCTAGAATGTAGTTTTTTTTAGTTGTGTAGTTCTTTCGATACATCGAAAGATTTAGGACATTAACTATGCTTATAATGTCCAAATTTGAGATTGAATTATGGCTGCTGATATATATATGTGTGTGTGTGTGTTCTTGCGTTGTTTTATGTTATTGAATTCGGCGTATTTGATGCCTTTTTGTCTTTAAATCTTCGATACTTCGATTAATCTAGAATGTAGTTTTTCTTGTTTTGTGTATACATCGATAGATTTAGGACACAAACTATGCTTCGAATGTCCAAATTTGAGATAGAATTATGGCCGCGGATCACATACATATAGATTGTGTTCTTATGTTGTTTAATGTTATTGAATTCGACATATTTGATGCCTTTTTCTTTAAATCTTCGAATGTAGAATGTCCGAATTTGAGCATATTGCGCGCATTTATTTTTCACTCGAAGTTTTAGATGAACGCATTTTTTGTAGGTATGTAGCGACAGATTTGGCGACCGACATGATCATCACCGTCGGGGACGTCAAATTTTATCTTCACAAGGTATCGCGATTACGACTTATTCAAAACGACGAAATCTTTTAGTACTTTTGTATTGACATGAATCATTTTACAGTTTCCTCTTCTCTCCAAGAGCCCACATCTCCAGAAGCTAGTTGCCAATTCGAGCGACGACGCTGACAGCGACGTCACCGTAAACGATATCCCGGGTGGACCCGCTGCATTCGAGATATGCGCCAAATTCTGTTACGGTATGGTCGTGACTCTCAACGCTTACAACGTCGTGGCGGCACGATGCGCAGCGGAATACCTGGAAATGTACGAGACCGTCGAGAAAGGGAACCTGATATACAAAATCGACGTCTTTCTGACGTCGAGCGTTTTCCGGAGCTGGAAAGACTCCATAATCGTGCTCCAGACGACGAAATCGTTTCTCCCTTGGTCCGAGGAACTGAAGATCGTCGGCCACTGTATTGATTCGATCGCTTCCCGAGCTTGCACCGACCCGTCGAAAGTCGACTGGTCTTATACTTACAATCGGAAGAAGCTCCCGTCCGAGAACGGGGAAGATTCGCATTGGAACGGCGTTAAGAAACAACTTACCGTACCGACCGACTGGTGGGTCGAAGACCTCTGCGAACTTCCGATCGATATGTATAAGAGGATTATTACGACGATACGGTCGAAAGGAAAGGTATCCGCCGAAGTCGTCGGCGAATCGTTACGGGCGTATGCGTTGAAGAGGCTTCCGGGCTTCGGCGACGGCGGGATACAAGGTAACGATGCTGCGAGATTCCGTTACTTGGTCGAGACGATCATGTATTTGCTTCCGCGAGAAAAAAGTTCGGTCCCGTGTAGTTTCTTGCTGAAGCTATTACAAGCGTCGACGATTTTGGAATGCGGCGAGACAGGGAGGCACGAGCTTGTCCGAAAAATCTCCCGGCAGCTCGACGAGGCGACCATCGGCGACTTTCTGATTTGGTTGCCGACTGGCGAGGCGACACCGTACGATATAGACGTCGTGCACGATATGGTCGAGGGGTTCGTAACGCAGGAAAGTTTCGATGGCGACGGCGGTGGCGGCGATCGTCCCGAAGCGTCGAAAATTAAGGTGGCGAGATTGGTCGATGGGTACCTAGCCGAAGCCGCTCGGGATGCATCTTTGCCGTTGTCGAAATTTGTCGCTCTAGCTGAAATGGTTTCGTCTTTTCCAAGACCGAGTCACGACGGAATCTACCGTGCGATCGACATGTTTCTAAAGGTTCATTTTTTTTCGATTCGATTCCAAGCTATTTCTCAATTCCTTTTCTTACGTTCGTTGTTGACGAGATTGCTTATTACAGGAACATCCGGAGCTGACAAAGAGCGAGAAAAAGAGAATATGTCGATTAATGGATTCGCGGAAGCTCTCGCCAGATGCGTGCGCGCACGCCGTGCAGAACGAGAGGCTACCGTTACGCGTCGTCGTGCAGGTTCTTTTCTTCGAGCAAGCTCGAGCGGCGGCATCGTCGGGGAATAATACGCCGAATGTGCCCCCCCGGTTGCTCCCGGGGGGGTCGTGCGGGAGCTCGAGGTCGGCGACGACGAATTCGGACGAGGATTGGGACGGGGACCTGACGTCGGGCGAGCTGAAGGATTCGAAAGGCGAGATGGCGGCGCGGAACAAAGGTCGGGGAAACGACGGCGGCAATCGATTGAGCTCGGAGAAGGATACGCCGACGAAGGTGAAGAAAATGCTGTCGAAACTCTGGTCGGGAAAAGATCGTGGGGAGAACAACAGCGGCTCCGACACGTCGGAGAGCCCGGCGTCGACCAGTGCTGACGAAACGGCGGCGGCGGTGGCCGGCAAGAACATGCCGGTGGGGAGAGGTCAGAAGAAGCTGATGCAGAACAAGTGAGGGAGGAGAGGCCTTGTTTATCGGGTCGGGCCGGGTAATTGGAGCGGGCAGGTTTAGGTTGCATGCAGTGGGGAAGGCTGGAATCAAAGCCAAAGTTTTGGGTTGGGTCGGGTCGGGTTATATTGATGGCTGTCTGCCTGCTGCTGCTGTTCTTCTCCGAAATTGGAAAATTTGTTAGGAATTAATTATTAGAAAGTTTGCTTTGAGGTTTGTATGTTAATTGATTACTAGTTCATCTTTTTGTCATTTTTTTCTTTTTTTTTTGCTTTTATTATTATTATTATTTACAATTCTATGTTGTAATAGTCGTTAGCTGACTACATTTTAAGCCCAATTAGTGAAACTTTACAATATTAAATTTTGATATTTACTAACTTGTATCGATATTTATAATATTAATAAGATAGTACAATTATAAAAAAATAAAAATAAAAATGGACTGATCAAATGAATAAATGGTCGAAGGAGAGAGGGATTATATATATATATATATATATCAAAATAGGATATTATTATTGCTATTATTAATAATGAAATAAAAGAGCTTTTTGTAAATAGACAATACAAAACTGAATAGATTCGAATAGTAATAATCTAATATAATATAAAATACTAAAAAATTTGTTTTAACCTATAAATTCAAATAATGCTAACCTGATTTAAGATAATAAAATTGTTAGCACATTTTCAGGACTATTTGCTATCTCATACTTTCAAGGGTTCTGAGAAATGCAAAAACATATTTGTGTTTTATTGCTTCTTTTAAAGCTGTCCTTTCATTATCTTTAAAAATAGATGAAAATGTATTATATGTGTATACATTGTTAATGAAAATATCTAATAAATTCTAATATATTCCTGACAATACATATCAAAATTCCTCACATTATAAATCACAGCTCTAGTATATATATATATATATATGTGTGTGTGTATATGAAACACACTACAATCAAATCCAAATAACAATATATATATACACATTTCCAATAGTGAACCTAAATTGCACTTTAGGAAAATCCAACAACAAACTTATCTTCTAGGCAAAAAGAAAATCCCATAAATTCTGCCAACAATAGACAAATATCAAGCAAAATCAAACAAGTGTGCTACACACTTTGAGATAGATACATACATACATACATACATATATATATATATTTATGTTGCTAAAATTTGAAAATATATGATTCTCTACTTCATTAGTTCACTGGCAAACCAAGATCTTCATTTGCAGAAAAGTAAAGCAAACATTTATGATCTCTTACACAGGTAAAAAGGACAACAAGACCATTGAATCGCCGACAAGAAGGTATAAAGTTTCATTCAGAAATTTAAACATGTAGGGGGATCACATTTCGGCACAACTCAATGGGTAACATAATAGCCAGTAAGTGCATATTACCGGGGATGAAAAATGAATAGGGATCGATGATATCGAAGGAATGTAATAAGTCTCATTACCCACGGTTTCTGCGGACTTCTGCATTCCTTACTGGGTGGAAATAAGGATGGGCCTGCATACACACACACCATCAATAAACTGAATCAAATGCATATTAAAAATGTGATTAAACATTTGAAATCAATTTAAAATGATGAATTGAGTCTAGAGGATTAGTGTTACAGCAAATATGGACAGTCTTGGATTTCGTGAAAAACTTTGCACAAATTTATGGAAGTGAGAGTAAGGTTGAAGTTTTACCATTGCTTCCTTTGCAGTAGGTCTTTCTTGATGATCATATCGCAGCAATTTGTCAACAAAGTCAATTGCCTGTAAAAGATTAAAAAACAAATAGATATTAATCTGTACTCTTTCGACAAATTCTGCATTTGAGCTGTTTGCAAGTAGCATATACCTCTGGAACAGCCCGGTGTTGATTTTCGGCATTAATAAACTTTGTCCATGGTTTTCTGCTGTGTCTGGATTGGCATGCCAGGAAGGAAAATGAAAACTAGCAATAAAACAAAAAATAGTGAAGGAAAAAGACTCCTAGAATTTGATACCTTCCGACAAGAGCAGCAAGATGCGGATCCAATTCCAAACGGTACTTGTTCAAATAAGCATTCAATTCTTCTGTACCCAATACCTGCCCGTAAATATATGATTACCACACTTTAGATTTATATGATGTTCGACGTAGTCACGTGGAATAAAGATAATTAACATGAAAAAAGTTAGATGCATATATTAAGATGTAACTGACAGACATAGATATACCAGCTGTGTAGTGGTACTATTGAATCATTATAAGTAGTGTTTCATAATACCTTTGCAATCTTGACGAGTTGATCATAATTATCATGTCCATAGAAGAAAGGTTCCTTGCGAAATATCTGTAGAGGACAAGCCCACCGAATAAACATCATTGTGGTAGTACTACTTGGTCATATCTTGGAGAGCATCAAAATTATAAACTATCTTTTAACTGCACATAGTTGACACTATGCTCTTAATTTTTATTTTTTTCTTTCTAAATATTACATCATATAGGATCTACTCAAAATCTTGTATTTCTGTATTTCTCTAAATTTGATATAAAATTAATTTAAATTAATCATAAATAAATATTTAGATCTTTATATATTTCTATTATATAAAATTTTAATATAACTACAAAATGATATCTATATTATATATTTTATTAAAATATAATTTTAAAAATATTTAAACACATTTTAATTTTTTTAATCATATATATTACATCATAAATCAAATATTGATTAAATAAATCAGTCCAACTTAAAACCCAACAAGCAACAAAACACACACTCACCTACAATTTCACAAAGACTTTATATGCATCGCATTAAACCCAACTCCTAACCAAACACACATAAACCTACAATCTCACAAAGAATTTATATACATTACATATATCTGGTGGTCAATAATCACTGTAGAAAATATTCCACATAATAGCAATTAGCAAGATAAATTTTTTTCCCAATTTTCTTTAATTATGTTTCAGGGTGACTATACCTGCTATTAATAAAATGAAGACACACCAACCGCTCAATTCATGTTTTATAAACACAAAAAGTACATGAAGCACTTCGAAGGAGCAAATTCATCATTGTCACTATGCTGAGGAAAGCTTATATAGAACATAAACACATGGCTTCAAGGACAGTAAAAGTAAACACGCACCATTCCAGCAAACATACAGCCCAGGCTCCACATGTCCAAGGAGTAATCATAGTCTTGCAGATCAACAAGCAGCTCAGGGCCCTTAAAATATCTGCACAAGGGAAATTAATCTACGAATAGCGCACATTAAGCAATAGAATCAACTCAACTTATAGCATCAACTTGCCATTCAATCGACGTCTTCTGCTGGAAAAATGACTATTAGGCTGTTTACTTGGATGAATTAATTAATCCTTGTGTATAAACATATCACCAAGGAATTAAATTAGTGGATGGAGCCTTAGTCTTACACTCTAATCTGGAAATAATACAGAGGGTATTCTTAAGATCAACTTGTTATATTAGATTCCAAATTACAATCCCTTGTATTTTTTACACATAAGTCAAAAGAATGCATGAGCTATTGAGCCACGGACAACATCATCGTTCAAGGTTTTAAGGAATAGTTTTGATGTGGTTGCACCCCAAAGGGGGGAACCTCTGGTTCCTTTTGCATGCCTTATTAGAAAAACAAAAGCCTAACCGTAAGAAAAGATTGATTTTCTTAGAAACAAAATAAAAGATTAATCTATTTTAGAGTGATATTCCATGGTAAAAATGAAAATGTAATCAGTTATATTAAAATTCGAACCTAACAATACAAAAAGTTCAAATAAGAAATATATCACACTCTGACACACATATATCATACACAGAGAGATAAGTGACTCCTCATATATGGAAAATAGTATTTAATTATTGTTTCCAATACCAATGAAAATAAGGATGCGAAGTACAAGCCTGAGTCTTCAACATAAAAAATAACAAAACAAAAGAAAAATATTTCTTTAACCTTGGTGTGAAACAAGACAAAAATAAAAGAAGAAATGCTCAACCATAATAATAACTTCCTGAGACGACTTCATTTCAGCTTAAAAAATGAACAGGTATTATCCTAACGGCATAGTCAACTAAAATTGCATGAAGTTCAGATCACTACACATGGAGAAGCCTTAAAAATACTACCATATTAATTACAAACCTCAAATCTAGTATGAGGATAGTTATTTGTAGAAACAAAGTAGAAGCAACAATTGAAAGCTAATGTTAAGGATAGATGACAAACCTAGAAGCAACACGAACATTATACTCTTTCCCAGGATGGTAGAACTCAGCAAGTCCCCAGTCTATCAGGCGAAGTTTACGTTGTTCATGATCTATCATTACATTGTGAGGCTTAACATCACGATGCATGATACCTTGAGAATGGCAATAATCTAAAGCCTACATATGAAAGTGAAGAACACAGCATTCAATATCAGACAAACAAAATGATATCGCCTCAAATGTGACTTCCAAGACACCTAATAGGTTTAATAGTGATTTACACTAAACAAGGAAGAGCAAAATCTTGGTTCCTTTGAAGCAACAATAACAAAATAATCACACTAGATCATTTTATCACTAAAAGGAATAGCACTTGTGGAAATTCCTAATCCAAGTTTTTCCTCGTTCATTTATTTTGTCCGGAAATCATCTGAGCCGGATGTAAATTTGAAATTTCGGACTTCAGGCTGTTAGCAAATGCATGGAATAGAATTGATCAAGCTGAACAATTTGTCCGGGTAGAATCTATGACCTCTATGTTCACTTCCTAATTATTAGGACACCAATGCCTCATCACCAGGTCACACACAGAAAAATATAAAAATAAAAATAAAAATTCATGATGTAAACTTATACTTTGTATTCTGAAACAGATATGAAAAACTACAAAAGTCCTACAAGGTAAAGGAAACTGGTGGAAAAGACTTGCCTTCAATAGTTCATAGATGTAGTATCTGATATCAAAATCCGAAAGTGTGGGGTACAACACTTTGAAGTCGGTGTTGTTTACATGCTCAAATATAAGACTAGGAGTCTTTGATTGTTGATCTCTTACAATGTCAAGCAACTTCACAATATTTGGTCCACCACATAGATTCTGTAAAATCTTAATCTCTCTCTTGATCTGCAAGAGGAATGGCCTTACACTATCAGTCATCAACTATAAAATCATCGAATATAAAGAAATACAATTGAAATTACTTGGAAAATAGAAATAAAAAAAGAATTGTCATTCACAGCATCAATAAAGTTGTTGGTCTGTTTTCTGCACATATTCCGATTTTTAAGGCACCCACATGAAGGTCTCTTTTGAGGTATAGATGAAGAAACACTAAAGAGACTGAGATATCTAAACATAACCACCTCAAAGCATATTTAATCTTGATACAGACTTATAGCATAAAACGGCTTTGTAGACATCTGCCTTACAAAAATGACATACCTTGGAGCCTTAATACAAAACCCCATAGACTGAAACTCTGAATCTCATAAAAAGGGATGCCACGATATACATAAACTGGTTGAACAAATAAAAGGTCACAAATTCAAGAGCTCCTTGCTTACTTCAGCACTTAACAACACTCTTAACATGCCAAACAACATCAAAACATCATATGAACTTTTTATCCCCCCAAATCCTGTACTGGTTGCCCCAATTTCTACGAAAGCTAGCCTCTTGAAGGCAAAATGCAAGGAGATGAATTATCGCCACAATTAGAGATTTATCAGAAGGGACAATATAGCATATGGAAAAGTATAATTTCATCGAAAAGTTCAGTTATACAACGTGAATACCTACTATTCTGCATCTGTATCTTCTATCAAAATTTAACTCAACCAAACTCCCCAACATGAATTGGTCACATACATTTCGTTCCAGAAATGTACAATAATAACATACAGATAGAAGGTAAATAACCATGTCTCAACAAACCATAAAACTAATAGAAAATTGAAAAATGAAGACCTTTTTCTTCTTGACAGGTTTAAGGATTTTGATAACGCATTTCTCGTTGTTGGTGGTATGAATTCCCTCGAAAACCTCGCTGTACTTCCCCCGACCCACCTTCCTGACCACCTCATAATCATCCTGCTCACTGCAGCAACCAATCAAAACTGAAAAACAAACAAACAGAAGCACAAACCCTAAAAAGCACAAGCAATCAACAAAACGCCCTAATTAAGTACCCCCATTGAACAGTGAGGGACTCATAGTCCCAATACTCCCTGGGGCGAAGAACATTGACGTCGGAGTAGACGCGCGCCTTGGACGGCGCCCCCGGCCGCCTAATTGCCTTCCCGATCTTCTGCGCCATCGTTTCCGGCACCGTCGAAGATGGACGGTGGCTAATTGAAGAAAACTGCTGCTGCGGCTGCAGAGGGCGACGATGCTGCTGCGGCGGCGGCAGTGGCGGGTCGTTCTGGAGTAGGTTCTGCTGCCGGGGAAGGGAGGCGACGCGGCGGAGTTGGGAAATCGGAGAGCTGCGGTGGTGGCGGAAAGAAACGATGAATTGGAGAGGCCTTACGGCCATCAAATGGAAAAGACAAAGGCTTAATATAAAGTGCGTGTATTGTATTGTATCGTATTGTAATTCTTCTTCGCTTGCGGGAGTCCCCCAAATCGACAGCCCTCTTTTCTTTTTCACACTTTGTCTCTCTCAAACGACGTCGTTTGGATACCTGTATAGCACACCCCCCCCCCTCCTTTTTATTATTTTTTATTTTTTTTAATAGTGATAAAATAATAAAAGAAATTCTAACATTAACGAGTGGGGTTCTTACAAAGTTATCCTGAACTCTTTCTTCTTCTTTCTTTTTTTTTTTTTTTCAAATATTAAGTTAAAATCAAATATTTTAAATTATAATTTTGGTTGGGATTTCATTTCAGCAAGTTTTTATTTAAAAATTGCTAATTTTATTTTAATTTTTCCTTTTAATTTCAACGTGGATCAACTTAACTACAATAAATGTATTTGGTTTCTACTTGAAACCAACCACAATCACCACTATTAATTTTATATTGTTATTAATAAAAATATATTCTTATCCCAAATCTATTTTCGTTCATTTTATATCATTTTTTATTTTCCTTTTCTTTAAAAAAAATATATATATAATTATATATTTTAATTATATTTTAAATTTTTTTAATTTATGATTTTTTTATTATAATTAAACTATTTAGTTATATTAATCTTAATCTATAATTATTTTTATTAAATCATAATTATATAATTATTTTTATTAAATCATAATTATATTTACTAATAATTTTTTAATTACTTACTAATTATGTAAAATTGTGTAAATAATATAATAGTGTGTGTAATATATTAATATTTTTGAAAAAATATATTAAATAATTTAGTTGGAAGAAGAAATATTTAAATATTTCAACTTGCTATCGTAGCCATCGCCCAGATCTATCACATATAAGCAAATACATTAAATTTTTTCACCACCAAAAATTAAAATATCTTAATAGGCTTAATACATAAAACCTACAAGACTTGCAAAATTATTAGATATAAGAATTTTCCTTAGCCGGGATCAGAGTTAGAGAAGAATTTTGAATATCTTTTGTATCTATAAAAGAGACATAAAATTTATTAATACATTGTACAAGTATAAATAATTTTAAATTAAAATTACTTAAACATAATAGTAATAGTAATTAATTCTCTTACTTAGTTCGATTTTTTCAATTTCTATGTAAAAATTTTAGATCATTATCAGTTAGATCCTTATAGAAGCTCATCTAATCGGTTTTCAATCAATCACTATTGCACACTAATACTTCTACAATTTAAAACTTAAATTACTTTGAAAAGGATCTACAACTCGTTTACCCAAATTAAAAGTTGACTCACTAGTCACGATTGAATTTGAAATTGCAAAAATATCTTTAGCAATAGTTGAAAAAATAAAGTATTTAGTTTCATTTTCATTCTACCATTTCAATAGATTGAAACACGGATTAAATTGTTTCTCAATATCATCGGTTAGATATTTAACAACTTCATTAGAGATCTCTTCAAGATGATTTTTTTTTTTTTTATTTTGTGCATTCACACATTCAATTCATCACAAAGACCACAACAATTATCGTCGTCGGTAAAAATCATCTCCACTATTGCACTCTATCTCCAAATTATGTCTCCCACAGTTGAAGTTTTATTCATTCCTCTATACTCTTGTTCACAAAAATTATAAAAAAAAAATTTAACCGTATTAACAACTTCTCGGATATTTTGAGAAGATCCTATTAATATTTTAATGTTCTCTTTAACCATCTGAAGTTTGTTTATTGGATCCACAATATTTGCAATAAAAATTAAGTTTGTTCGTTTGTGGATTTTAGTTTTTTATTTTGGATTTTTGAATAGTAAAAAGTTAGATTTTGAATAGTTTGTTTGATATGATATAAATAGAGTTTAATTGATGTTTTGAATGTAAAATAAATTTATAGTATAATATATAAAAAGAAAAATAATTGTTTGATGTGATATTTTTGGAGAAAAAAAAAAGAATCTGAATAGTAAAAACATAGGGTAAAATTACAAAAGAACACAACCTTCAGAATTAATGTTATTTCAACTCCCCCAATACTTATTAAATTTCAGTTTTATTGAACTTTGTAGTTTTGTAAGTGTTGAATTGAAATATCATTGGAAATTTTTCAATTTCAATCTATAATACAACCAATGATTGATAAATCAATTGTAAAATAGAAGTTTTTAATGCACTCAGTTCTAAAATGACATCGTAGAACTTCTTTAAAAAAATATATAAAAGCTTTTGCATTGTTGCAATCTTCGTTGTTCATTCATCTTAATCTTTCTTATAGTATACATATATATATATTTTATTTTTTTCATAAAAATATTTCATAAAAGGTGCTCATTCTTCCACCATGATATCAAACATCCTTTATACTTCAATGAAATATCAAATATTTTACTTAGTTTTGATATCGAAAAGTATTGTTGATGTGCTATAAAAATTAGTTAGAACCGATAATTCCCTAAATTTATTTAATCTTGAATGTGAAGAATGCATAAAATCAACTCCATATTGATGAATTTAATCGATGCATTAAGCTTTATCAAATCATCCTTAACAATTAAGTTAAGAATATGAGATAGAACGCCTCAAATGCAAGCATTTTCATTCAAACATCAACATATTTTTTATTTTCAATTTTCTTTTCACATAATCAATACTAGTATCACTATGAGAGGCATTACCAACTACTATTGATAAAACTTTTTCTATACCATACTCTCTCAAATAAATTTCAACCATTTTTTCAATTTCTTTCCTAAAATGACAAATAATTTTTTTAAATCTAATGATTCTCTTATGCAATTTTCATTACTATTTATAAAGTAAGCAGTGATTGCCATATAATTTATAAAGTAAGCAGTGATTGTCATATAATTTATGTTTTGAATGAATGCTCAGTATCAATTGTGATGCTCACTATTTATAATTAATTGTAAGTTTTAGTTTATATTTTTTCTTTTAAGAATAAATAGTAAACCATGAACACAACATTTCATCGATTGGAAAGCCTAAATATTAATTGTAACTAATGCATAATATTTATGAATTTCTTCTCTTCGGCTTGAAATGATACTTCATCACAAATCACATACTCCACAAGCTTCGATGCACTTCTTTTTTGAAACAATTAAATATATATATTATATATTACTATTTACAATAAATAAATTAAATAATATAAAATATGTTACTATTGACAATAAGAAAAAAAAAGTTTAATACACATATTTTTTTTATTAAATGAATGTGAAACTAACGAACTTTCTTGTTCTATCCCTAGAGAATCATTCGTCAAAACACATTATTTTTCTTCATTTTCATATCCTTCACATAATACATTTTCATCAAATAGTTTTTTCAACCGATTTGGAGTTTCATAAGTAAAGAAAACCTCAACTTTACAATATTTATATATCCCGATTGATTGCTAACTTCCATCGTTTAATGTTCAAATTCTTTTTTTTCACAAAGCAATTAATATTGACTCCTTTGTTTAGGAGCAATAAGGGTTTTGTTAAATCACCTCTTCTCTCTTACGGTTTAAGTACTCATAAGGTATCTCAATATTTGTAATTGGTAAAGAACCTAAAAAAAAATCATATTTCATTCTAAAAAAAAGATTAATAAATAATGCAACTAAAAAAATATATGAATTATTAGTAAACAAAAGATTAATCACAAAGCAAACAAAAATAATAGCAAGTTCTGACATTTTTCTAATAATGTTTCTTTCAAGCTTACAATGTCAAACTTGAAGCAAATAAAAACAAATATAACAATGATCTAACATATAAATAACAAATTAACAATGATACTATCATATTACATTTTCATTATATAATGTTAGACTACCAATCTACTAGTTATAAATTGAATACATTTATTTATGTAACTACACTTGTATATAGATACAATGTATTAATACGTATCATGGTTCATGAATGATTTCAAAAATTAAAAAATGTGCAATATTATTCTTATTTTTCAATGACATAAATTAAACACAAGCCTCATCCCTTTCTAATTTTTTATTTTGCATAATGCGCTATTTTTATTATTTTCTATTTACTAATCCCTCACTCATATTGTAATAAAAAGAAATATAAATGAAACGGTTTATGAACTAAGGATTCAAAAACAAAAAATGAGAAAGAAAGAAATATAAACCAAAAAATATATGAACAGATTGCGTATGACTGTGAGGCAGGAGAAGGTGCCAAACGACTTGTGGCAATTGGAGTGTGGGTGGGGGAGGGTGACCGGTGACAATCTCAGATAAAGCGATTTCGGATGGGGATGAAATGGTATGCGATTTGAAATTTTAACTTTGAATGTTAAGTGTTGTGCAGAAGATACAATAACAGATCGATATTATAATTAATTTCTTCATCCCTATACTTACCTAGCTAGTGTGTGTAGATATTCATATATTTTAACATATAAACTATGATACTATTGAGATTATATTCCAAATAGACTATAATTTAGATTTATTGTTTAATTTATGTGGTTGAAGTTAATATTTGGATTTAAAGTTAATATTGAAAATATATTTGTATGAAACTAAAAATATTTTGTCTTCATTCGATGATGTTAAAAATTCAAAATAAGTCTATGAATGCAAGAAAGATATATTAATTTTAAAGTTGAATTTTCTGATATGTGAAGCATGTGAATTAAATGAGAAAATTTAAAATGTAAGACAATAGATAATCTAAGTTGGATGAATTGCTTTCTCTTGTTGCTGATCTTTTAGAAAATGAAATATTAAAACTAAAACTATTTCGAGATGAAATTATTCATACTGAAAAAGTATTTTAAAATGAATAAATTTTTAATATATTAATTCAATTTTAATATAGTTATTTATTTTTTAGATTAATAAGATTTTATTTATAAGTTTTCTATGAAGCTGCAATTAATAAATCCTACTTATATGGACAATTTTTCAATATACAACGAGGTTTTGTTATCTGTTTATTTGTAGTATTAGTTATATTTATATTATTATTAGTTATAGTTTGTTATGTAGAATAATAAGTTCGTCGATTGAAAATGAAGT